TCTTTTCGGATTTGATTGTTTTACTTGACAATTACTGCATAAACCTAAATATGCCATAACTGCCTCCGTTGTCACATTACAATATTTTGTTTTTAACACAGCCATCATCCTATTTCTACCACCATGACCTACTGCTAAATGTGCTGTATGGATGACTTCAAACAACTCGTCTACTGTGACGTAATATAAAACGTCAGATTCATTATCAACTATAGGCTTAATCAATTTTTCTTTTCCCCCAATTGACACAACATCATATTTACGTATAAGTCTATTATTCGTTACCGTTTTTTTAAGTGTTCCAATTTTTAATTCTTTTATTTTTTGGATTTTGTTGTTGTACTCTTCAGAACTAAAATAAAATATGTTGTCGTCTCTCTTTTTACTGCTAATAATTTTGTCGATTTCTGCTCTAAATTTGTTCTCCATAATTATTAAATAAAACTAACACTATAATTGAATCTAACTCTTAGTACACTTTGTTCACTGGTGACACAAATTTTTACAAATAATATTATAAAACACACACTCGTCGCATATACAACTCGCTATAATATTCCCGTAGATACTAACTAATAAACTAATAGATTATCTCATATTATTACTCGGGTTATCGACGTTATTGCTTGTTGGGATTTTCGTTTATCTATCTACTTCCGTCATGATATTTTTAACTAACGAAGCTTATTTGGCACCTACACGCTTATCGCTGTTCGTTCACACCGACATAAAAGTATTGAACATCATTCTCCAACTAAACTGGTGATTGACGACAATAACCGGGGAATGTCTGTATTTACAACATTTACCAATTTTTAGGTAAATGATGTCATTTACCGGGGAATGACGTCTTTTACCACGTTTACATCTTTCACCGTAACATATACACTAATATACGATCGGGTTGGAATAGTAGTAAGAAACTAATATAAGAAGATCGTTCGACAATAATACGATATCGCTTGGTTGTTATTTTCATTTTCATTTTTTCGATGATGATAATAATAGTGTATAATAGTGTATTGTGTAGGTTTTATACACGCTAGCTAGGTGGTAACCGAATACCCAAAGACAATGCGGTACATGGATTACGGAAGAGTATTAACTTACTTATACGAGTAGGCAGTCGAGTTAACATAAAAATCATAGTTTTGAAAAATATGGTTATCTAATATAGGTATCTTGGATTACAAAACGTGTTGTACGAGTGTCGAGTAGTGTACTGTGCAGTTAACGACAAAATAATACATTGCGAAATGGAAATCGTATTTCATCTAGTTGTATATGAAATATTGTATATGATAAGGGGACAATTTAAAACCCCTGTAGGATTATTATTTTCTAAATTACTATAAAATAACCGAAATGTTTTCTAAAAGTGATAGGCTGCTTAGTTTTTAAAATTGTAATATATATAGCCAAGTAATGTCTGGTATAACATGTGTTCATAAAGTACTAAACTATTTTATCCGATTTAAAATCGATATAAATACATAATATAGATATAGTTATTGAAGAGGTGCGTTATGTAATACGAAACTCACTTAACTAACTCAAAGGCGTAAATTAACTGTGGATTATAATTATTTATTACCACAATTGAAGTTCAAATGTAGAAATCACAAAATACTTTCTGTAGGTAAAAATGTGTACGAATCTATAATATTGGAAAGTGAAATAAAAGCATTATATTTTCATATTTTAAGATTTACGGTTTTTACCATTTTATTTCTTTTACACATAATATATAGTATATAGGTCATTTTTCATGAGAAAGTGATGTTGACAACAGCCGGATTGTAATGGATAATTTATAAAAATAAATATTACAAGAATATGATTTATAGTTGAAGAACAATAATAAGTTAATGAATAATATAGATTTAACAGAATCATGAAAATATAATGGAAAATTATTATGTTTAAAACTATATTAACAAATAATGATGATTTTTAAAGCATAAATATTTATATTATAATTTATACCTATTATTATTAATTTTTACTATTCAAAAAAATTACAATATTTTGTACTTAATTAACACATAATACTGTAAAATTATTTTTTTAAGTGTGTAAGCACAACTAGTTAGATAATACTATTAACTATATAGTACCTACCTACTCCACTATACGTACTACTAAGAATAATAATTTTGGGAATAAACACTACACAGTATGAGAAAGTCAGTCGTAAAAAGTTGTTATTTATTTATTTACGTGCATCAATTATCTAGCATTAATAATACTTTTAATAGAACAATTAAGAATCTACTAAAATTGTCCGATATAATTATTATTTGTAAGATAGTATTCTACAGCACTTGAAAATGTATATATTAATATTATGTGCTTTATAATCGTAAAATATGCTTTAAAAATTATAAAATAACAAAAAAAACAGCAAAAATAAATAATTATTAGAAGATACCAGGTAATACAAAATATTTGTTATGACTGCAAACCATACTGTAATTATTATTCTATGCTACAAATACGAAAATTCAAACGATAAGGACAAGGTAAATAAGTAGCTGGCTGAAAAATGCA